AATTTTATTACATTTAGCAATTAATTTGGTTATGATTTATTTTTTATTTGATATGATCCTGTTCAATTTTATTACCTTTAGCATTTAATTTTGCGACCTTTATTTTTTTTATTTGATACTTTTATGTTGATTTTTGTTTAACTTTAGCTATTAATTGTTATCTTTGTTTTAAACTTTCGTTACCTTTAGCTATTAATTGCTTCCTTTGTGTCTAAGTTGTTATCTTTAGCATATTTTTGTTATGTTTAGATTTTGTTATCCTTAGATCGAGTTACTCTACTTATGAACCTTTGACTAAATTTAGTTGTCTTCATTTTTATCTTATACCTTTGTGTTAATTTTTGTTACCTTTAGCTATTAATTTTTACCTTTATTTGAACTTTGTCATCTTTACCTATAAATCCGTTACTTTTCTGTTGAAGTTTTCCCCTTTAATTATTAATTGTTACCTCTATTTTGAACTTTTATCACCTTTAGCTATGAATTGCTACCTTTGTGTCTAACTCGTTATCTTTGGCATATTTTTTGTTGTCTTTATCTTTGTCACCTTTAGATTTAGTTATCTTTAGGTCGAGTTTTGACACTTAACCTATGAACCTTTGACCTAATTGGTTACCTTTATTCTTTATTTGAGACCTTTATGTGGAATTTTGTTTCCTTTAACTATTAATTTGGTTATTTTATTTTTTATTTGATAACTTTGGGTTGATTTTTATTACCTTTAGCTATTAATTTTTATCTTTGTTTTGTACTGTCTTTATAGCTATAAATCCATACTTTTATGTTAAAATTTGTCCCCTTTAATTATTAATTATTGCCTTTGTTTTGATCTTTTGTCACCTTTAGCTATGAGTTGCTACATTTGTGTCTAACTTGTTATCTTTTAACATATAATTTTTAACCTTTATTTTTGTCATCTTTATATTTTTTTATCTTTACTTTGAATTTCGACACTTTAGCAATGAATTATTTGATTTAATTTGGTTACCTTTATTTTTTTATTTGATACCTTTGTGTCCGTTTTTGTTAACGTTAGCTATCTTTGTTTTGAACTTTTATCACCTTGCTATGGATTGTGTCTAACTTGTGATCTTTAGTATATTTTTGTTACCTTTAAATTTGTTATGTTTAGATTTTGTTATCTTTAGGCCGAGTTTCATCACTTTATCTATGAACCTTTGACTTAATTCAGATACCTTTGTTTTTTATTTGATATTTGATACCTTTGTATCAACTTTTGTTACCTTTAGGTATTAATTGTTATCTTTGTTTTGTTGTCATCTTTTAGTATGAATTGCTACCTTTATGTCTAACTTATTATCTTTAGCATATTTTATGGCCTCTATTTTTGTTACGTCTAGGTTTTGTCATATTTAGGTAGAATTTTGTCACTTTACTTATGAATCTTTGAATTAATTTAGTTACCTTTATTTTTTTTAATTTGATACCTTTGTGTCGAAGTTTGTTACCTTAGCATTAATTCAGTTACCTTTATTTTTTTATTTGATATCTTTATGTCAATATTTGCTATTAATTGTTACCTTTCTTTTGAACTTTTGTCACCTTTAGCTATGAATTGCTACTAACTTCTTATCTGCAGCATATTTTTTTACCATGGTTTTTGCTATATTTAGGCCGAGTTTTGTCACTTTAGCTATGAACTTTTGACTTAATTTAGCTGCCTTTTATTTTTATTTGATACCATTGTGTATGGTTTTGTTACCATTAGCTATTAGTATTATATTTGTTTTAACTTTTTGTCACTTTTAACTATCAATTGCTACCTTTGTGTCTAACTTCTTATCTTTAACATATTCTTGTTCACCTTTTTCCGTTTTGACCCAATGATGGTTATATAACCCACGATTTTTAACAGATTTCGTACCTTTTGACATAATGACAATTAACTAAACATATTTTAAAATACACGATATCATTAGCTAAAATCCACAATTATTGCTCATTTTCATTCTTTTTTTACCTAATGACAATTAATAATGCATACCTACGTTTTTCAAAATTCGTGAATTTCATGGGTTATAACCCATGATTTTTGTGAAGATTCTTTTGTTTTGACCCAAGAGAAATTAAGTTCTCTTTCTTCAAAAATCACAATTTTAATGGGCTAACACCAATGTTTTTGTCGTTTTTGTTCTTCAACCCAATGACAAATAAGTATGCTCACCTCAAAATTCACGATTTTTTACCAGGTTTAACCCACAAATTTTATCCATTTTGAATGATTCGACCTAAAGACAATTAAGTAGGCGTACACTTCAAAATTCGCAAATTTCATGGGTTTTACCCTTGATTTTTGTGCATTTTATTTGTTTCGACCCAATGGCAACAATTTATGCATATTTTGAAAATTACGATTTTCATTGGTTGCTCATGATTTTTGTCCATTTTTACTCATTTTGACCCAATGCCCATTAACTAAGCATATTTTGAAATATGCAATTTCATAAGCTAACGCGCAATATTTTCTCATTTATGTTCATTTTGACCCAATGACAATTAATCATGGTAGCAAAAAATTCACGATTTTAGTCTACTTTTGTTAGTTTCGACCCAATGTCAAATAAATTTTCTTTCATACAAATCGCGATTTTCATAGGTTATAGCCCTTGAATTTTCTCAATTTTCGTTTTTTGACCAGATGACATTAAGTCTAGACACCTCAAAATTTGTGATTTTCATGGGCTATAGATCACGTTTTTGTACATTTTTGTTTGTTATGACCTAATAGCAATTAATAGTGGTTACTTCAATAGTCGCGATTTTCATGGGCAATAAACCAAGATTTGGTCAATTTTAGTTTTTTGACCAAATAGCGAATTAGTATGCATGTCTTAAAATTCATGATTTTCACACGTTTTAACCCATAAATTTTGTCCATTTTCATCTTATTCAACCCAATGACAATGAAAACTTACACCACAAAAATCACAATGTTCATGAGTTATAACCCATGATTTTTGTGCATTTCACCAAACTTCGTGATTTTTATGAGCTAACCCACATTTTTTGTTAGTTTTTGTTCGTTTTAACCCAATGATAAATATGAATGTGTACTTCAAAATTCACAATTTTCATTGCTAACTCACTATTTTTGTCCAATTTTGTTCGTTTTGACCCAATAGCAAGTACATACATTAAAAATTGAGATTTTCATGAGTTGTAACCAATGTTGACTAACGATTTTTTTGTCAATTTTGTTCTTTGACCAATTAGTAAATAAATATCCATAACTTAAAAATTCATAATTTTAAAGGGCTTTAAACAATTTTTTTTTCTGTAAAATTCTTTTTCTTCTATTTCTTTTTTGATTCAGCTTATGGCTCTTGAAATTGGTGGTCATGAACGTTCGTATCATTTCTGGAAATGCACAACAATCCTTCTCTAGATTGGAGTAATCAATCAAATTCTTTTGCATTGTTTTTTGGCTGAGCTTATTATGGTGCTTATGAATAAGATATGGTGATTCTGTATCTTGTTTGTATTTATCACTTAAACCTTTTTCATTTTGTCTTTATCAGAGTACATTCTGTTTCAGTACAAAAATTCCTTATATATGTGTATGTATTTTTGGAAATTTTTGCTGAGCTTATTATGGTGCATATGAATGTGATTTGGCGATTTTGTTTCTTGTTTGTAGTTATCACTTAAACCTTTTCCTTTTCTCTAAGTCTCTACTTATAAAGCAGTAGCTTAGGTTTCAATAGATTATGGTTGTGTAAAGTATCATTCTTCCGGAATCTGGCATACAGGAGTGTTGCCTTCTAATGAAACAGTAAGAACTTCTGCTATCTTTACTTCCTGAAACATTTAACGTTTTTATTGTCTGTATTTATTTCGTTCAGAGAGCTCATGTTAGTATACTAGTTACACTTATTGTTTTTGGAAGGGAAATTGCATTGAGTTTTCTACAATATAGTTTGAGCCTATAGAACTAAAAGAATTACTACAAACAAGTGCTAATAATCTGTGCTGGTCAGTTGTATCGTAGAGAGCAAAATGCGCACTGATAAAATAGCATCAACATCCCTTGTATCCTAACCTTATACTTTTACAATGACATATATTAACGTAAACAAAATGCTTTGAATTGGATTGATTTTAATCATATCAGACGGTCCTCCAATATTTCCCACCCTTTTTATTATTAATTAACAATATCATGGCTTAGTATAGATTTGGAGCATCTATGACCCTTAGCATAATATGGAAACAGTGTATGCATTTAATATTGACTGTAATCATATAACATGTCCTGATACATTCTCTTTTGTTGTAAACTAATAACAGTCTGCCTTTAATTCACAGTATCATGTAATAAAGTTCCTGCATTTTCGTGTTGGCTGAAATCTGATAATGACCATCGGAGAGATGCTCTTTTTAGTAGTTTAAAACTATTTCACTAGAAAACCTGATATCGTCTTGTCACCTTGTACTGTGAGATAACTTCACATTCTTTTTCTCTTTTTATTTTAAGTTTGTGATTTGGCTGAGATTCATTGCTTTTGTAAAAGACGCGATAACTCACAAGGCAAATTCAATTAAATATATTACTAGAAGTTTCAAGGCAAACTGGAAGGGGTAGCTAAATGTGCATCAGTTCCTAGAGCATGAGTTCAATTCGAGATGGGATTAGTATTTCTAATGCCTAACATGTGGTTGTTACCTAATTCAATTAAATTTTAGTTAACAAATAAGTTTTGAGATAATAATATTCCTATGGGGAAAAAAGTTGACTATAAAGCTAGTATCCAAATTCAAAAACTTCTTCAAGTTCAGAGTGAAGTGGTACCCTATAATGTTTCTGCTCTTGGATGGTACCAAAAGTTTATCGGCTCTTATAAATGAAACAGAATTGCTACCAAAAGTTTATCGGCTCTTTTAAATGAAACAGAATTGCTATTGTTATAAAGTAAACTCTATGTCACTCTCCAAATATGCACATAACTTTTGTCTCCTACTTTCAAAATTCCATCTTTCAGATCCAGACACAAGCATGTATGCAGCTAACAGAGGAGATAGAGAAAGACTTTAACAAGATATCTGATAGAATAAGTGAAAATACAGAAGTTGTAAAGGTAATATAAATTTCTGTACACTTATTCAATTTAACTTCTTGTTGAATGTAACTTTATTTTTATGTTTTATTTTGCAGGATTCTTATATGAAGATCACCTCAGAAGTACAAGCATCTACATCTCGTGGTATATGATGTTATGTAAATCCGCTACCAACATAGTATTGTTGAAATCTTTAGTATAGACTGAAGAAGCTCTGAATTCAGCTGCAAAAGAAAATATTCATAGTAGTTCTTTAAGTAACATCAACAATTGCGTGCTCCTTACTCCTACCCTTGCAATTTTTGCAACTTAAAGGTAGCTACGATCATCTCAGCAAATTATTCTTTGTATTTGTAGTCCCAGACTGGCAGTGGATGTTAGCAAACCAATAACCATGCAGCCCTATGACCAAAGTTTTTAAAGAGAAACTTCTTTGCATACTGGGAAGTTTAGAATTATTTTAAGTGAAGCAATTGTAAATAGCTTCTGATATTACTGATTTAGACTGAATATGTCATACTCTTATTTCTTGTTGATCTTAATTTTGATACTTTGTTGGTCAGTATCCAAGGTGATGATTCCTGAGCTTGCACAATCTCTGGAGAACAGTATTGAAGGGCTGCGCAGCCGCTATAAGATTGGTGGAACGCCAATTTCTTTACGTACTCGCTAAATGCATTAAGCAGGTGAACTTCATTAATCTTTTCCATTATTCACTTCACATCTTTCTACTCTAATGTTCCGCCTATAACGTGCATAAGTTATGAAGAATTTGACTTCTTCTAGTGGAGATAGGTTTTTAAGAAACATGTATTTCTCTTGAGATCACAGTAAATATCATAGCTAGTAACCAGTTTATATATGGGTAGGAGGAGAACTTGTACTTAATTTACCAAAGGAGATGAAATAATGTATGGATTTTCTAGTAATGGGAGAGGCACGTCCATGTGCTTCTTATTGATGTTGTGTACATATTCTTTATGAAAAAACACACATGGTTCCTCGAAAGAAATGGTGGAGTATGACTTGTTACTTTAAAGAGAGACTAATGAAATAATGCTAGAATACTGAAAATTAGGAAAGTTCCCATACTGAAAAACCATCGGTGCACAAGAGTACAAACTCATCAATATACAAGTCTTAACACTACTTTCATTAACAGATAGACCGCTAGATCTTCTTTCTTGCAGATTTTAAGCAGGCAAATAGTAATAGAACTAACAACAATAGCACGTGGAGATAAGAAGATTTTGTGGTATAATGCAACCTCCGCAAGTAACTTGTTCTATTCAATAAGAAGGTAATAATGCGAACCAAAATTTAAAAATTGATAATTTTGTGTGACCATAAGAAACAATAGAGAAGTATGTGTACGCTAAATCCCGCATGATGTTGCTCTTCTGGTTTCAACTGTCTTTTATCTCCCACTTTTAGTCTTTAGTTTTTCCCTAAGCATCATGTGGTTGTAAATTTTTCATAGTTATCACTGATGTTGAACATTTTATTGGCTGACTTGGATGTAAAATACCTTCAGGTTTAGAAATTAGAATATAGATGCACATTTAAGCATTCACGGGTACGGCTTGGGATTTATACATCATTTAGGATCAGGTTCTAGTTGGTCTACGGAGCTGGTGATTTAAGGCAAAAAATCTGTGACTAGTCTTTGGTAGGGAAAATGAGTTTGATTAGGCCATTTTGCCGTCAGCTAACCGTCTATAATATTTATACAGCAGTTCCTTCAGGGACAAATTTGAAACATTCTGCATCAGCATACGTCATTTCCCACCCTTCAGATATTTTCGTTCTAAATAGTGTCGTGCTTGTATGTTAACAGCAGATCTTTCTTATTGCTTTGAGCTCTTTTCTTGCACCGTGTTGCTGTGGTAGCGTTTGATCCCATTACCAAGTTGATCATAAATTTTATTTTAAGATTACTTGTTTGAAGTTTTGTAATGCTTCTGTTGCTGCTGTGTTTTTAGGTTTCAAATCTGCCTCTTGCAATAATAAGCTTAATTTACTGTTATATTTTTTTGAAATTTAGTTACTGCATCATACAGGAAAACGGAGACTATATGCTGATGTTCAACTGGAGATCACTTAGTATGTGAGTTTGCTGATGAATCAACGACTGCTGTGCGAGTCAGATTGAATACTATGTAAAGTGACAAACAGACTTCAAATTTGTTTTTCATGTTAAGACTCTCAAAGACACTATATAGTTGGAAACCAATATGGTATTTCGCACCTTAATGAATTCACTCCAATAACATCTTTAACGCTTGACCACAAGTAGGGTCAGTTGCTTCCTCAAGTGGTAATCCAACAGCGACCTTGCTTTTTGTGAACATTTTGACATGGAATCCAGCTATTACTGCTGGAAGTAGACGTTTTTCAAATAAATTCCTAATGTAAGTTGATTAAAAAAAAGTACGTATCCTTTCTTTTTCTTTTTTTGTGTGTTGTTAATCTACTTGGCCGCACCACCATTTTACATGTAATTCAGGAGCTAAGACAATTTATCACATAAATCCATACGAACATCTTCATTGTCAATGGTTTTAACTGAACACCATCAAATCAAACTGCAGAGTAATTCCAAATTTAAAAGCCGGTGAAAAAATAGTCCAAAGACGCAGCTTCGGTCTTACACACACATGACAACAGGTTGTATAGGCACAGCGGTTCATTGTCTCGTGCGCATAAAATGAATCCTTTTGTTGCTTCTGACCGATACACCTGCAGTTAACAATATATCATACACCCACCGTTCATTCAAATAAAAGAAAAGATAAACATATAAAATTAAAATTCCAACACCGACCGAGTACAAAAAAGAATAAAAATAAAAATTGATGGCTGTGTCAGTTATAGCAGACATCCACGGGCTACAGTGGATAAACTCAGATTTCGCGATCCTGACCTACCTGACATTTTTCTGTTCATTGTGATGCATAGCCATCACGTCGAATTCAGCTTCTGTAACTGGGCTTTAGCCGCATCGAGTTGTTCTGAGAAGCAGCGTTGACATGATGGAATAATAATAACTAACAAATGTCGCAAAAATATCATTAAAACAAAAACGAACGAGAATACAAGTCCTCGACGATCTTACCTTGCTCATTTGTTCTTGCGGTCTCCACGTCTTTGCGGAAAAAGATGTTGCCAGCTTTCTGATACACACCCTGCAAGCAATCACAAGCCTTATAAATCCCAAAATATCAGCGTAAACCTTCCAACAAAATCACCAACAAAAAATAGTTATAAAATAAATAAATCAAACCCATGCGTTTAATTAAAACCCCCCAACGAACAAGCCGTAACAACCCAACGAGTTTTTCCATCGTCCGTCAACTCAATCAAGTTAACAACACAATAGAATCTAATCGAAGAATTCAAAAAGAGAAAACAACACTCACTTTGGATGGCGGGAGAGCGTTCAATTCCACGATCGCGACCTCGTGGCATCGTATCTGACCTCATCGTAAAGGAAAGGGGAAAGGGCGATTAAAGCCTCGTAGTTGTATAGAAAATCGAGGGGGGCGAAGTGTGGGTAAGCTTACCTCTTTTTGGAGGCTGAGGCTAGGGTTTACAGAGGGCAGGGGGGGTGGACGAATCGAGGGTGAAGAAGAGGGAGAAGCCATCGGATCGGGGTTGGAATCTGTACTCGAGACTAATGCCGAATTTTTCGGGCGTAAACCCTATCCTTGATTTATTATTGGGTTTTTTTTATAATTTTATATCAGTCTCTCAAATTTTCAATAGTTTTGACTTATTAGTCCCTGAAATCATTAAAATTACTATTAGGTCCCTCAAATCATCTATTTCATTGCAGTTACGTACCTCTGTTTAACTTAAGGGGTATCTGCTTAACTGGGTTAGCTTAGGACTTTACCCCCACATGGTAATTACAAAAGCATCCTTAGGTCTGTTTTTCATCAAAAGTCTCAATTTTCGGGGTCTATAACCCATGATATTTGCTCATTTTCGTTCATTTCAATCCAATGGCAGTTAATCATGCATACAAAAATATTCGTGATTTACATGGGTCGATTTCTGTCTATTTTCATTAGCTTCGACCAAATGGCAATTAAAATTCTTTCATAAAAAATCACGATTTTCATGGATTATAACACATGATTTTTGTCAATTTTTCGTTCTTCGACCCAATGACAAGTAAGTATATGTACGTTAAAGTTCATGGCTTCTCGTTCTTTGGCCTAGTGATATATAAGTTTGTGTACCTTAAATTTTACGATTTCATGCTATTTAACCCACCAAACCTTGTCTGTTTTGACCTAAGGACAATTAACTCAGCAACAATTAATTCAGTGTATACTTCAAACTTATCAATTTTCTTAATTTATAACCCATGAGTTTTATGCATTTTCATTTGTTTCTATCCAATGACGATTAATTATGCGTACTTTAAAATTCTCTATTTTTATGGTTATAATTTACGATTTTGGTTAATTCTCATTCATTTTAACTCAATTAGAAATAAGTATGCATACTTCAAACTTCATGATTTTCATGGGTTATACGCACGAATTTTGTCTATTTTTTAATCTTTTTCACCTGATGGTAATTAACTAAGCAGATTTCAAAATTCATGATCTCGTGGGCTCATAATACAAAGAAACATTGCATTGTTTTTCTCTGGAGGAGATCGAAAGGAGCTGAATCTTAAGCTTAGGGTTACAGGTAGAATTTGGAGGGAGCAATGAGAGAGGGCTTGGATTTGTTAGGGTTTTTGGAGTTAGGTGTTCAGTTTGGCTTTTGATGGCAAGGTCTCTTTGCTTGTAGTGATCAATGGGAAACTAGTGAAATGTAGAAATCAAGAGTGTTAGTACATATAGTATTTATTTATGGACCATAATATTGCATTTTCATCCTTTTGTAGTGAAATATGTTTCCCATTCTGTTAAGTATGAATCTACATATATTGAGTCTGCATTCCTTTGATAAGTTGCGCACCATGTACAATGTGTTGGATATTTTTAAAGAAAAGGCAATTTTGCCTTAATAAATTCTAATAAATTTTTGTAATTAAAATATGCAATTAAAATATGTTTTAATGTGTTTTAATTTGTAATTAAAATGGGCATAATGACTATACATTATGACGAACGTTACGAAATTTATTGAGGGATTTTGTAACGGCTCTTTTCAACCCCTATATAAACAACATATGTTGAGCTCAAGAAACATGAAGAAAAATGTGGAAAACTTATCTTGTTTTCTTTTCTCCTCTACATATCATTTTCATCTATACTTTAGTTTTACTTTATGGGCAACTTCTTCATCTGAGCTGAAGCTCTGCACTCTCGCCCGAGTGCAGAGGCCGGGCCGTTTTTGGGGGTTTTTACCGCTAGGGGAGAAGGGATCATCTGCGCCAGGGCGATAGGCGGGTCCTCAATCTTCTAGGGCAGTGTTTACACGACTGCTCCCGTCAGGCCTGTTTCTCTAATTTATATTATCTATCTTTGATGTATTATTTATTTAATTTTCGGGTTTAAATTCATGCTATAATCTTTATTTATTTGATAAATTTCCAACAATCTAGAAGATTGAGAAGTTTATAGCTTTGATTTAAATCTGAAATTATTTTAAAGTTACTGTTCATTCGAGATGGTTACTGTTCATCCGAATTTAAAAAAAACAAAAAAAAAGGAAATTGCTACTAAATTGCTTATCTATTAATTAATTTTTTGTTAAAAAAAAAAGGGTTTTGTATTCTGATTTTGAATCCCCAATAAAAAAAAATGTTACTGTTCATTTTTTAAAAAGAACGTTACTATTTATTTATTTTTAAGAATGTTAATGCTCATTTATAAAAATGTTGTTACTGTTCATTCTTAAAAAATGACGTTACTGTTTAATTTTAAAAATGATGTTACTGTTCATTTATTTTGAAAACGGCACTGTTCATTTTATTTAAAAAGTTACTGTTCATGTAAACAGTTTTGGTTATTTTTAAAAAAAATTAATAATTAAAAAATTGTAGCTAAATATTTATGTTAATTTAATTTAACAGTTAATTACATTTGTCTTATAGTTGATTTATAATCAATAATTATTGTAAGTTACGAATATCAAAGAACCTTTATTGGTTTCTAAAAGCCTTATCCCCTTGTGCTAGTGAATATGCACGCATTTGAAAAATGCTATAAATTTGCAGCAGTGTATATTTTTATTCTTAAAAAATTTCATATGCATGGTTTTGACAAGAATAAAGAGAACAAACTCTGGATGCATAGATGCTTTGAAATATCTGGATTGTTTTGTTTATGGTTTAATGCTTTCATTTCTTTAAACTATGAATATGGTACCTTCTATTATTAATAATTCCATACTTTGAAGTGCTTATACATCTAATAAGCTTAGTACAGAAGGTGGTAATAGTGAATGCAGATTTGTTCAGCAACTTAAGTGGCAGCTGTCTGCAGCAGATGAGTTTTACTCTCAAGACATGAAAATCATGAGGTTCGAACATCAATAGGTAAACCCCTCCTCGGCCTTATCCATCATATGTTTGCAGTATAATTGCTAGGCAATTTAAATGATTGCAGGAAATAATTTAAAGTTTCTATATACTGTTAAGGAACAAAAACTCATTGAGTGAACCGATTCAAGTTTTCTTGGATTAGTTGGTGTCTAAGGCAAGGTTTAAGGGTTGCGTAACGCGCTCTGCAAGGAACGAGGTACTTAATTGATCTTTGATCAACCTCTATTACTATCCTTACCTGGCTAACTACCCGGGTAAAACTTTAATCTTTTCACTTTAGGAGTTTTTGGAATAAGAGGACCGGAATTATGTGAAAATTCATATGCATTTATTTAATTACGCTTCTTGCATCATATATTGCCTAATGATAAATGATCAATATATGAGCGAACAAATCAAAGAGGTCATCTTTTAAAATTCTATTTTATATGGTGGATTATATTTTAAATCTTCAAATGTAAAGTCCATCTCTTTTATTGCATTATGATGGATATTGCAATAAATGTTCATATGTCTTTTGGATAACTTGCATTTGTTACATGATTAATTGCAAGGTTTTATGCAAGAATGCACTTGTAAAACTTAAAGCACGTATGTACAAATATTATTATTATTATTATTTGTATAAGAGGTGGTACTAGAAAATGGCAACATAAATTTGGAAGGTCTCCTTTGTAGACAACCAATTTAAATTTGGAAGGTCTCATTTGTAGGCAACCGATTTAAATTTGGACGGTCTCCTTTGTAGGCAACCAATTTGTAACCTCTTATAATAGAAGAATTTTAAAAATTTTATGCATTTGAATTATGAAGTATGAAATACATTTTAAGATACGAAAATATTTTTTTAAGATACGAAATCCTATTATGCTCTGCATGTATCTATTATTAATTTCATTCATGTATGTGCATATGCATAACTGCAGAATTTTTAGTTCCACATTAGTTTGAAATGTTCAGATATTAAGGTCAATCTCTTCAGACATAGACTATGATCTTTTATGATCATAGATCATGACCTAATGTCAATTTCAAACAATATAATGGACTAATTACAAAATAAGAACTTGATAAATAAATACAACGCCTGCTAGGCAAAGTTGTGATTCTAGACTTTATAAAGTCTGTGAAAAGAATTTTGATGACCCTTTGATTAAGGGATTATCCAGTAGTGTGGTTCTGGATTCATCGAGGGAGATGGGGTTAAGCCCATAGATGAGGTCACTGACAGCGGCAACCCAACCCTTATTTGGAGACGTAGTCCCAATGTCGGTTCAATGTGGTAGAAACAAGCTGGACAAGTGACACTCGTGTGGAGCATCGACCCAGATATATTCATATATCACTTTGTAGCTTGTGCTACTACCCCTTCTCTATGATGACGATGCTCTTATGATACAGCTGGCTAGGCTGAGTTTTACTCTTAATAAGTCCAACGCGTGTATTGTGGGGGGTATTAAATAAACAGCTGTAGTACCCTTTGAGGACTTACCTACGTGAGAGGAACCGTGATGGCCGCGGTTAGGGGGAGCTGGGCTAAACCCTAGAAACTCTCATGAGTCGGTTTATTGTGAGCATGGCCTTTAACGCTCAACCCGCTTTGCTCAATAGATGAAGCGTATTGTGTGTGTTTTCATCAATACCTGATTAAAGGGGCCTAATTCAAGGCCTAGTCCATTATGTCCCTCAGGTGGCGATGAACTCACTAAGGAAAGGTTCAAAGCCGAAAGCTACCTCTCCCGAATTCACGATACGAAAGGTTACCCAACCTATATTTGTTTTATGATTTCTTGATTTATTTATTGATTTCTGAGTCTTCAGTCAATATTGCCTTTTGGGGGGGACTGTTAGATATTTTGTTAAGAAAAGACAATTTTGCCTTCATGAATAATAATAAATTTTTGTAATTAAAACATGTTTTAATTAGCAATTAAAAATATGTGTAACGGCCATATAATTATGGGGAACGTTACAAAATTTATGACGAACGTTACAGAATTAATTACGGGTTTTGTAACATCTTTTCCAACCCTATATATATTAAAATGGGCATAATGACTATACATTATGACGAACGTTACGAAATTTATTGAGGGATTTTGTAACGGCTCTTTTCAACCCCTATATAAACAACATATGTTGAGCTCAAGAAACATGAAGAAAAATGTGGAAAACTTATCTTGTTTTCTTTTCTCCTCTA